TAGCATGTACATGACATATTTCATTCCTCCGCGTACCACTAAGGAAGCCTGCGTACCACTAGTGGTACACGTACCACAGTTTGAGAACCACTGGTCTATATTATGACAAAAACACTTTTATTTTAAAAGCCATTTTTCACAATTCCTTTTTGCAACGTTTACAGGTTAACTCACTTTTTTAAGTAAAGTCTATGAATCACTTTAAAAGCAAAGAGCTTATGTTCACTTCATGTCAAATCAGCTAATAACTTTTTACGGTGTGAATAATACATACCCAGTACAGTAAAAAAAAAAAAAAGCAACATGACAACACAGTAAAATAAACATGAGATTGATTTATGAAGCTAAAAAAGGTCAAGTTCAGCGTTACAAACTCAAAACAAGGCAACAAAAGCTAAGAAGCAGATTCATGACCTCCTAAAACACACGCTCATTAAAATCTTCACACCTTCCTCTTTAAACACCACTTAACCAAGCTTTAACAAAGCTAAAGCGACACTAGAATGCAAAAAAAAAAACTAGAGCGTACCAATCTATTGGTTTTGACTCAGTGACACATATAAAAAGATGACACGGTGCTGATTGAACCGCTAGAACCGAATCAATAGCACAAATTGTGAACACACAGACCACTATTTTAGGCTGAGGGCCAACCCTTTAGGATCTATGTCTGCTAGCACCTGTTAACCCCAGCCAACACCCTCCAGACCCCGTGGTTTCACGCTACAACCGTCCCGATCCGACTCCACACAGAACACGAGGTGAGGGGTTAATCTGATATTGTGCTGAAGGAAACTACAAAGCAGCGAGCAGATGGCCATCTTTGAGCAAGGTTTCTGCTGATACAAGAAAGCCAGAGATGGAAACAAGAGAAGCATTTCTGGATTTAAACCACAACATTTTTGGCTTCACATTCACGTCTTTCTGTAGATGATGAACAGATAAAGCAGCGCAAACAGCACATGTGAGGTAAACTGAACCACTGTTTCTCAATGAGTGGAAAAACCAATACGGGACGGGTCACGCTTATGAGATATTATTGTAGGAAATGCTGCGCTTCATCATTTTTAGATTTACTTTGCTAGTCAAATAAAGATGAAGATAGGAGGTCCTTTACTTGACTGCGAGATGAAAGTCCATCACATTGTTTCCCACAACAGATCCCCTCTGTGAGATCCGGCACATTAAATACCATTTGCTGACTTTGAGATGGTGGGATTTTATCTCATCACATTTTTCTGAAGTAAATATCTACAAGTCAAGCTATATATCATATAGTTTTACGGTGATACAGTTGAAACTGACTGATTGTCATAAACTGACAACTATTAAAGTGAACAAACAGAAATAGACTCAATCTTAAAGGGAAAGTGCACCCCCAAAATTTAAATTCTGTCATTATTTAAACACTCTTCATTCCTTTCAAACCTTTTATTTCATACTTTCTTGAGTCTAAAGGGATAGTTCACCTAACAATGAAGAATTAATCACTATTAACTCCCCCTCATATGGTTACAAACCCTTATGGCTTTGCTTTTTCTGTTAAACACAAAAGTAGATATTTTGAAAAAAGCTGAAAACCTGTAACCATTTACTTCCATAGTAGGATAAACAAATACTATGGAAGTCAACGGTTATAGGTTTCCAGCTTTCTTCACAAATTTATCTTTTGTGTTAAACGGGAGAAAGAAACCAACTTATATGGCTGCACAATATTTTGTTGTCGATATTACAATGTGTGTATCCGCAATAGTCACATCACAAAGATACAATGATACTGTAACATGAAGTGATGCTGACAACAGGGGTGCGAATCCAAATGCAGGTTTATTTAGCAGAATGATCAGGCAAGCAACGGTCAACACAGGGGCAAACAAATGTATACAGGCAAATTTAGATTCGTAGTCAAAATAACAGGCAGATGGTGAAAAGGCAGGCAGCAGAAAACTTAAAACAAACAAAAAAAGACTAGTTTCAAGCACAGCAAGACAAGGCAGGGGAAAACGTGTCGTAATGTTTCACTATACAGATTAGCAAGACCCAATGTGTGTGTTTGTGCTGTTTTTATAGTCCTTGTAATCAGTCTTGGAGCAGCATCAGCTGTGTGAGTCTAACCAATGGAAACTAGGAACAGGTGTGTAAGTGTTGCATGACAGGACCTGTAGTTCATATGAAACAAGACTGTAAATGTGAACGTTCTCCAGCGATTTATGTAGGTTAGATCTCTGGGTATTGAGACAGATACAATGTGTGATTGTCTGCAAGGACAATACAAGACAGACTAGGTCATCAGTTAGATGTAAATGTTCAGTTAAATTTAAGAGAACTGCTTTTGGACAATCTGTTTTTTCAGTCAGAGCAGCAGAAAGATGGAACAAAATACCAGTGCAAATCAGAAAGAGTACCACTTTTAATCATTTTAAAACTGTTCTTAAAATTTGGCTTAGACAAAATCAAATATGCGATCAATGATTTGATTTCATTTTATTGATAATGATGTATTGTGTTGTACTGTGAGTGAATATTGTATTCTTTTTACAACCTCCTACTCAGGGACTACAGATGTAAATTAGCTTTATAGCTAACTCTGGCACAACATGTCATGTTGTACATTGTCCCTGTATAAATAAATAAAATAAATAAATAAATATGCAATGTTGAGTCGACTTTGAAGTGTGATTTTATATTTACATATACAAAATCATAAAGCATGCACTGTTAATTCAACTTTTATTTTTGCTTTGTTGCATTTATCTATGCTTGTAGTTTGTTTATTACATATTATGCATAATTCACTTTTTACAGAATCATCTCATTCGATTAACTAGCTGTTTATTGGCATGCATGTTACTGAGACATTAGCTGCTTATTAGTATAAAGCACATGTTCTGTATAATCTCCATACATCCCTAATCCCACCCAATACCTAAACTACCTTAATAGCTATTAATAAGGAGCAAATTATGAGTTTATTAAAGCAAAAGTCAAAATGTTTGGCTAAGAGCGAGAACTGAACCTTAAAGTAAAGTGTGACCTAAAAATTCTTTCCAAGTATAACAAAGTATATTGCAAGATATGTTGCAATGTCAGATTTTTCCAATATCGTGCAGCCCTATTATACAGCTATTTAACTTCTTGAAGGTGAGTAAATTTTCATTTTTGGGTGAAGTATCTCTTTAATCTCTGCTTACTGTTATTTAAAGTTCCCGTACATAATCTAAGCTTATTTCATTATGAAGACATTAGTGTCATAACACTTCAACAAACATGAGGTCGCTTTGTGTGTTTTTAGCTGATGCATGAAACATGAACCAGATCACAAATATGTCAAGCTCAGTATATTGTGGTTAAAAAGAAGCTCTGCTGCCAAAATAAAACACAACACAGTCGAAGAATCCACCATGAGGCAACAGATCTGGTTGTATGCCATTTTACTAACAGCTGGCGGCTGACATGGAACCGGTTTATCTTCTTTTGCTTTATTTGATGCTTTGTCATTTAAAATCTGAAAGACCCAAATTATGTAAACAAATTATTGGTAATAAACCTTACAATGACCAAGCTTTATGTTAAGGTTGCATTAGGTAATCCCAGCATGCACACAACATCATAAGACGTTAACATTAGGTTAGATATAGGTCGTGATGTCAGATGACCAAAATTCAATGTCTAGCCAGCGTCTAAGGACGACGTTATTTGGACGTCCAATAACGACATCAAACGACATTTATATTTGGTTGACTTTAGGTTGACCAAAATCCATCTTTAACCAACGTCATATTGACGTCAAATACCGACATTTATTCGTCAGGTATGACAACCAAAACTTAGCACTTGATAGATGTTATAGTGGTGACGTCTACACAACATCAAGCTGTAACATCATTAGATGTTGATATTTGAATGATTTTAAGCATTGGACATTGACGTCGACCTGTCGTTGGGTTCTGATGTTAACCCAATTTTCATTTCTAAACAAAATGCAACATCCCCACAACGTTGGGGTACAAGGTCAATCTGACATCCTATGCCTGCTGGGATGTTAGACTAGTTAATTTATTAACTAACATATTGAACAACATTTGTACAGCATTTATTAATTATATAGTTAAACATTTACGAACGCATTATTAAAACCCAAAGCTGTGCTTGTTAATATATGCTAATGCACTGTGAGTTAGCAAGAACTAACAATGGTTGACTTTTATACCATTGACCAACATTAACAAAGATTAATAAATACTGTAAAAATGTATGGTTAATTGTTTGTTACCATTAACTAAAAATAACTGATACAACCATTTTGTAAAGTGTTACCCTAATAATTTGGTCAAAATACAGTGTGGTAAATTCAGGAACACCACTCAGAATCACCTGGAACGAAATGTAAAAACTCGTCATATTAGGTGAAATTATGTATTACGTTATGTAATATTAAATACTTTTCTCTCATAATCTTCGTTTGCTTAGAATAAGGAGCATTAAATTTAGCCCCTCCAAACAGACTGAATGCACCTTTGTGTGCAGCTGTTCAGCAAGTTCACTGGGAAGATGATGATGGGATCTACAGGTTTTGCAAACACTGAATTATAAGTATTCTGTAATCCAATACATACCGGTATAATTCAAGTTTGACAGTCCAAACAATGTCTTTCCCAACTGCAACCTCAGACATTGAATGAGCTTATCCATCTAAATAAAGCAATTCAATACAACCATACAGACTATAGACACAATTAACTGACCATTCTTGATCATTTTGACAATTCTATCACAAGAAAATGTGAACATATAAGTGAAATCCACATTTAGACTAAATATAGACATTGGTTTATATTTTAAATATGTTGCCAACTTCTTTTTGTCTCAGAAATATTTAAATCCGTGTCCACTGTGTTCACAAAACAGAAGTTAACGTCCACATAAATAACAACAAGTCTTTCACCAAACAACTGAAAGTAGAGATGTTTGACAGCAACAATGGGCTGTTCTCTTCTTACCTGCATTTAAAGCATTGAAGTCTTCTTTGAAACAAACAAAAAAGCGCGACGCTTCGCTTCTCACAGACTGGCAGTGATTTGAGTCCAGTTAATCCACACGAGCGACGAGACTTTCAGTCCATAAACTTCACCGGGACCGCTCGTGTCCGCCCGCAACACACGTGTCTATTTCCAGCCAAAGGATGATTTCTTAAACACTGAAATGATTGAAAGGGGCTCCTGTGTATTTTTAGAGGCGCTAACTCCTGGAAGCCCGTCTCTTGTCTGTCACTGGCGGCCGGGAGTGAGTGTTTCGGTGAGGAATAACGGGAGGTGAGCGTCAGTTCACAGTGGAGTTATTGTCCGCTAGTGCGACCCGGCGGCCGCTCGTGGAAAAGGGCTGGGCTTCAGACATCGCCTACCAAGTCCATACACAAGAGACTCCTCACACACAAAAAAACAGCCATGTTTATTCATCCCACCAGTGATTTTCAAAGATTCTTCTTTTAATAATTTAGATGCTGCTTGTCTGTCTGTTTGCTGGAAACCGAAAATAATAAAACACATTTGTTTGTTAGTGCCATATAAAAATGTAAACAAAACATATGCCTTTGTTATAAAATGTATTCATTTGATGGTTTAAGTAAAATATTTATTTTTCTTAAAACTTAATGTTTGTGATTAGTGTTTTGTTTAATAAAACACTGCATCATTTGTTTTGTAGCCTGTTTGTTGCTTATAAAACAGAAATCTATTTTGTTTGTTCAATTCAATGTGAGCTTTCTATTGTTATCATCATTTTAACAACAATGTTCAGTTTGTTTTGTAAAACAATTTAACCAACATGTTTTGTTTGCCAGTTATATTTTGTTAAACCATTATTTTATAATAATTTGTGTTTAAAACATTAGACTTTCTTGTAAAACAAATGGTTGGTAAACAATGTAGCCACATATTAACAGGTTTGTTTGGTGTTTTCTGTGCTAGTTATTTGTTGTTAAATTATTATTTTATAGTAATTTGGGGTTTAAAAGATTAGTTTGTTTATAAAACAATGTAACAAATGCTTGGTAAACAATGTAGCCTCTATTTATAGGTTTGTTTGTTGGGTGTATTTGTTAAAATAAAACATTTAAATAATAAATATGTAACCTATATTTGGTTGGTTTGGATCTTTTGATCTGTATTTTTTATTTTAGATGCATTTTTATTAGCTTAAGTGTCATTGCCATTTTAAACCTGTGTAAACTGAAAGCCTCGTTCAGCTTCAGCTAATAAAGGAGGTGACAGGGTCAAAGGTCATGCTTGGGCTAACTATCAGTTCAATGATGCGTAAAACTGTGAGGTAATCCAAAAAGCGTGGGAAACAATAAATCAGTTTATACATTTGTGAAATACCATAGTTCCAGGTTATATTCAACTATCCATGATTTTAAAAATGACTTGTTTTTACCAGTGTGTGTTTGTGTGTTCGCTCCACAGAGCTGTGTTTTGTGTGCACCCACAGATGGAGGGTGTGTTCAGTAGGTGTTTGTTTGAGTGGGTGTGTCTGTCGCTCCGTGCGGTGGGAGTTCACAGTGTGTGTGCCAAAGAAAGAGCTCACAAACACACTGTTGAAAACACACCCAGCGGTGCCACACCTCTCATCCAGCATCACAGGGACGATCGGCCAATCCCGCAGCACCTCACAGTGGGCATCAGTCACACGCAGCCAATCTGCGGGCACCTCCTCCACACCTTCAAAGTAAACCAACATCAAGGCCTCACACTTTTCCACAAACACAGCTTATTTATTTGATCATATCTGAGCCTTTCCATTTGCTTTGAAAGTCACTGTCTGATGGTGCATGTTCGGAGGATATTTCGCCACCTTAGAATTATAAGGTTATATCTGACATTTTTGTCAAAATTGAGTATTTATTAAATGACAACTTATTTACATTATGGGATGTTTTTTATAAGTTGTTTACATTTTAGGACTTTTTATTTGAAAAACAAATGTTACACACATACTGTTTGCTATGGAATGCAAAAACTTTGAAGCTCATTATCTCAAAATCATTCAGAATGCAGATAGACACTTATAATTCCAAGGGGACAATTTGTTGGACAGTTACTGTGCAAACATTAAGAGGTGATATAAAGACCCAAAGCTTAAATTGCAGTTATTTTAACACACACATACACTTGTACTAGATTTATCCAATGTACTGTGCTGACTGTATTTTCTACACCCCATCCCAATCCTACCTCTAAGCCAAACCCTCACTGGAGACAATCTGCTAAAACCTTTATTTCTGTGTGATTGATAAGCTATTTTACTCATGGGGACTGAAAAAGTGTCCCTCTAAACTCAAAATTGACTGTATTGCTAAAACCTGTGGGGACATGTGGTCATCATGACATAAGCAGGACAGAATCTGCTAAATGTTTTGCTATTTCTTGTGGTATGATTTTGGGAGTATTGTACCTAAAAGCATAATATTTATTCATTCATTCATTTTCATTTGGGTTAGTCTCTATTCAGAGGTCGCCACAACAGAATGAACCGCCAACTATTCCAGCATATGTTTTAGGAAACTCATGCAAACATAGGAAGAACATGCAAACTCCAAACAGAAATGCCAACTGGTTCAGCAGGGACTCGAACCAGCAACCTTCTTGCTGTGAGGCGACAGTGCTCGCCACCCTGCCGCCCCAAAACTTAATACAGTAAATAAAACATGCAGGGGCGGATTTAGTGATTTTGGGGGCCCTAAACACTACCAGCCATGGGGCCTGAAGTTCAAAAATGTTGTACTTTTTTATTGTTATTTTGCCGTTTTTACTTATGTTATTTGATTTCCTTTTCTACATTTTATCTTAATGCAAAATAATAATAACATGTAAACAGATGTAAAGAGTACTGAAAAATCATCCTCAAGTAAAAGTGCCATTACCTGCCTAAAAATGTAGTTTAAGTAAAGTAAAAGTATCTGTTGTAAATATTACTCATGAGTAAAAGTAGCCCTTTCAAAAGTACTCAAGAAGCTGATGCGTTTACATGTAATTTGTGGATGTGTGTAAGCGTAACATTATGTAGTGCATTTGCCCAGCAGGCACACAATGTCATAAGATGTTAATATTAGGTTAGAGTTAGGTTGTGACATCAGGAGACCAAAATTCAACATTTAGCCAGAGTCTAAGGACAACGTTATCTTAATGTTTAATAATGATGTCAAATGACATTGATATTTGGTTGATTTTAGGTTGTTAGAAAGTGATCAAAATCCAACGTCCAGCCAACATCTTAAACCAACGTCATATTGATGTAAAACCCTGACATTTATTCATAAGGGCATGGCAACTAAAATCCAATGTCTGATAGACGTCATAGTGGTAGCATCAACACAACGTCAAGCTGTAACATCATTATACATTGATATTTGGTTGATTTGAGGTTGGTCGTTGGATATTGATGCTGGCCTGACTTCGAGTTCCCAACCATTATTTGGAAAGCATGTTCATTTCCAAATAAAATGCAACGTCCATGACGTTGGGGTACAACGTCAATCTGACAACATGTTGACGTACTTTGCCTGCTGAGTGTTTAAGACCATTTTGGTCATCGTACAGTAAATGTCCATCATCTTTTCATCAGTGTATCTAAAACAGTCTCTGGGTCAATTCGTGTAAATATTTTGGACATCTTCTTGGACACTTTTAATGCTTTCAAACAGTTTGCTGCAATTATTAAGTGTCCATGTCTTGAGGTAGTTCATTAAGAGGCGATTTACCTTGTGTGTAATTTGATTGGACAGGAATCACAGGACTGATTTTTCCAATACCCATAGATAAAAAATAATAAAGTAGTGACTGCAGATTAAAGGAAAGTAGTGGAGTAAAAGTATCAATGCGGCACAAAAAATGTACTCAAGGGAAAGTAATTAGTTACTTAACACCACTGCACGTAAAGCACCTTGTAGGATCAATTCACAACTAAAAGATGAATTCACAACTAAAAATAATGAATAATTATATTTTTAAAAATAAATCTTTACTTATTTGACTGCTGGACTGGTCCATGATGAAGGTGAGAGAACCTCATCGTACAAAATATGACAGAAAACAATGTTATATATAATTTATAGGTATCATTTATACTTCTAGGTATTTATTGAAGTGCCCTAATTGGCCGCTTACCTTGCTTATTGATTAAATCCGCCCCTGAAAACATGATCCGTTTTTAATTTTTATTTAATGTTTACAATGCAAACCAAATTAGATCCACTTATTTAGTAAACAAAGAAACTGTCTTATATAATATATATACTAAAGTACAGAAAATATTACTTTACAAACGGTATTGTTGGTAAACCAAATTAACATTTTAATAATTGGCAATAATATTACTCAAATTAATTTAAATACTGAATAAATATAAATGTACACACAATTGCACAAGTGAATAAATAGACTGAATGATTGGGTAAAAACCTACAGATTTCCACACACACACACACACACACACACACACACACACACACACACACACACACACACACACAGTTACAGCAAACCTTCCTAAGATGGCTTTTACTTAAGCTGAATTTACAGGACAAACACACACTGGAGTCAAAGTTTTCCGAGATAAAAGGACATTTGTCTCCTTGAAGACTTGTAATGCTATCTACAACCAGAAGATGTCGCTGTCAGCAAATAATAATATTATAAAAGATTATTATATAATATTATTAGAGCAGGTGATTTACTGTACTTTTTACTCAATTAATATTTCACAATGTCACCGTAATATTTACGCTATAATATTCCACACTGAATCAACTTTGTGATTCAGAATTTAAAATTTGTATTTTTTTTTTTTTTTGGAATAGATTGTTTGAGTATTCTGCTTAGGGAAAAAACTACAAGTTTACCTGGTGATGACACACTGTCTATATTTCTTACGTAAAAGGCAAAATTGTCTATTAAGAAGTAATGCACAAAAATATCAAATCATTTTTGCTTATTTACACAATTATAAAAAAAACACTGTTGTGTAACACACACACAACCCTATTTTTCCAAAATAAAATGATAATAAATTTTTTTTATTGTAATGCACTGTAACACTTCCAAAGTATTTCTCATTTCTATTAATTTAAAAACTGTAAACGCAGTAATAAAAACATGATAACATTAAAACACTGACCTTATTTCTATCGTTTCATTAATTCCTAATCAGATTCATTAAGGTTTTAGATGATAAAAATTATTAATTTCTGACTTTTGTGTAAAAAAGCGTTGTTCAGGTGCAAATGAACACAAATATTATATAGATTTTAAATTAATTAAAAGAGTTGAACCCTAAGTTTTCGACTACAACAACCTGCACTGTAAAAAGTGATTAGTTACTTTACATAAACGTAAATAAACCCATTGCCTTTAAAAGTGACAAGTTGACTATACTTAAAAATTAAATGTAAACTCATTGAAACTAGGAACTTAATTTTTTTCAGAATTATGTACACATTTATTTATTAATTTTAAGACAACATGTCGGCTTACTTTTTGTAAGTATTACAACCAATTGCTTTTTACAGCGTGCCATAACTTGGAAAGTTTCTTTTATCGCCTTCTACAACAATACTACTTTTTGAAATTCTCTTTTGAAATTCTGCACAAATATAAAAACCCTCAAAAACATTTATATTTAAATTGCATGTATTTACTAGACTCTTTTATACACAGGGTATAAAAAAACAGGAACATAAGCCAACAGAATTCAAAGTAAAATGCTGTTATTTTTCAGATTTTGAAAAAAAAATTTGAGTGTGTCCTTGTTTGTATTTGTTTTATACAATAATAATAATGATAAGGGTGATGATGTCAAGAGCATGTTTTGCATGTTTGAATGTGCTTCGAAAGTTGTTTTTAATATTAAAGTCATGTAAATAAAGGCTTTTAAATTTTCCCACAGCTTTTCAAGAGTCTGATGAGTTTTTTGATGATTAAAAGGAATCCCACATACAAAGCGCACCGATAAACAGAGTTTATACCCCTGTAGCATCCTGTGAATGTTTTTAGGTGCTATGAAAGTCGTTCGCTTTGAGGAACTGACCCTTGAACTTTTGTAAGAGAGTCTATTTATTCCTCTGCAGTTCAGTGTTTTCTTACACGCTGAAGCCAGAAGAAGAGGAATCTGCAAACACCTCGTCTATTTGATGTAACACCTGTGTGAGGAAAACACATGTAAGTGAACCAGCTCTCAGCTGAGCTTCTGCTGAAGACCAGATACTGCAGGCAAAAACATTGTTTCATGTACCGCTCAGTTTTGAAATTTTGGCATTTTTGGCCTTCCATAAAGGGTTTTTTATTTGAATACAAGAAAACATCCAAAATACCTTTTAAGTCTTACTTTTGTCACACTTTATCTGTTTGTATCTGATTATTTTTAACAGTAATTTTCTCAATTTGTTTTTCCTTCTGTGCCTAATCATAAATCTATACTTCAGCAACTCTTACATAAAGTTCACAGTTTAAATAATATATGTAATATACATACATTAAATATAAAATAATATATGCATTCTTTTTTATTCATAGATAATTTGCATAATTATATCTAACATTTATTAGTACTAATATTAGTTTTTTATTACTAAGACACACGAAAATATGAAACTTTAGCCCTGTGTGAAAAAGTGACCTGCCAACCTCTGTCACTCCTGTTCGCATTCAAGAAATCACTTTAATAGGACCTGCCTGACAAAGTGAAGAAGACCAAAAGATCCTCATTAAGATCCTACAAACGGAACCCAAATTACCACAAGAACACAGTGACAACTTATCCAAGATGTCACAAAAGATCCCACAACCGCATTCAAAAAACTGCAGGCCTCACTTACCTCACTTAAGGTGAGTGTTCATGACTCCACCATAAGAAAGAGATTGGGGCAAAGACGAGTTCCAAGACAAAAACCACTGCTGAGCAAAAAGAACATAAAGGCTTGTCTCAGTTTTGCTAGAAAATATCTTGGTGATCCCCAAAACTATTGGGAAAACTCACTGTAAACAAAAATATAAGTTTTGGAGGTCCAATTATGTTGTGCCATTATGTGTGTTGTAAAAGTAACACCGGGTTTAAAAAAAATAACATCATATCAAGAGTAAAAATTGGTGGTGGTAGTGTGATAGTCTGGCGCTGTTTTGCTGCTTCAGGACCTGGAAGATTGTGATGTTATGAATGGAACCATGAATTCTGCTGTGTACCAAAATATCCAGAAGGAGAATGTCTGCCCATCTGATCTCAAGCTGAAGCAAACTTGGTTTCTGCAGCAGGACAATGATTAAAAGCACACCAACAAGTCACCTTATTAAGTGCAGAAGAAAAACAAAATGAAAACTTTAGAGTGGCCTAGTCAAAGTCCTGAACAAAATCCAAATGAGATGCTGTGGCATGTCTTTCAAAGGTGGTTTATGCATGGAAACCCCCCAATATGGCTGAATTACCAGACAAAATGTCTCCACTGTGCTGTAAATAGCTTGAAAAAGCTGTAAAAAAAAAAAAAGCAGTGCTGTAAAAAAGCTTGAAAAAGCTTTATTGCAGTTGTTGCTTTAAAGGGTGGCTCAACCTAATTTTTTTAGTATTTGTTTATTACTAAAAAACAGAAATTCCAAAAATCCACACTGTAAAAACCTTTTGACATAATTTATTTGGATGAAATATTTTTAAAGTTCAAATGTGAACAAAACTTTTTAGAAAATGTTTAATATATTAATTGTATGCTTAATGTAATCAATCAGTCATCGAAGTTGGCAGTGAGTATTTTTAGTTAATATTTTAACCCCATTTCACAATTCTTCCTTCCTTTGTCTGAAACAACTGATTTTGTCAAATGTGTTCATTATACTTTATTTTATTTTAAATAATTTTCTTGAAATAAACTGATAATTAATAATTCAGAATTATTAGCCCCCCTGAATTATTAGACCCCCTGTTTATTTTTCCTCAATTTCTGTTTAAGAGAAAGAAGATTTTTTAACGCATTTTTTAAACATAATAGTTTTAATAACTCATCTCTAATAACAGTAAATTATATTTGACTGGATAATTTTCAAGACACTTCTATACAGCTTAAAGTGACATTTAAAGGCTTAACTAGGTTAATTAGGTTAACTAGGCAGGTTAGGGTAATTAGGCAAGTTATTGTATAACGATTGTTCTTTCAGTAGACTATCGGGTAAAAATATAGCTTAAAGGGGCTAATAATTTAGACTTTAAAATGGTTTTTAAAAAATTTAAAACTGCTTTTATTCTAGCTGAAATAAAACAAATAAGACCTTTTTCCAGAAGAAAAAAAAAACATTATCAGAAATGCTGTGAAAATTTCCTTGCTTTGTTAAACATCATTTGGAAAATATTTTTAAAAGGGGGGCTAATATTTTTTTACAGACTTTAACTGTATATTATTCTTCAATAAATTTTTAAAAAATTTAAAATCAGTTGACACCAAATTATACAATTTGTTGGGGCTGAAGAAAATCTTGCAGTGGAAAGACAATTGCATGATGACAAAATTATTATTTTTGAACTCTCCTTTTAATGAGCTTTCTACAAGCAGCTAATACTGATGTTTCTCATAGTCTCATTAATCTCTGACAAATAACAATGATTCATATTATGCGCAGTAATTTTACCGTAGGCCTATGTGGGAATCATCATCATGACACATTCACCCTGTGACAGCAGTGACTGTTCTTTTCTTCAGCTGATCTGCTCACTCTCTGCAGTTCAGCTTTGCTGGATGTCATCTCAAACGTCATGCAGTCCACCCACATTCTAGTAAACCGAACACAGAATATTACCCCATATTACACACTAATATAATCAACAAAGCTGTTTTTTTGTGTTAATCTGATTGGCTTTGGAGAGTAAAAGCACATTTTATTTTATTTTTTTTATGATTGTGTTCTAGTGTGTGGAAACAAAATTGAGTTCACAGTGTTTACAGCAGGCACTACGGAAGATTACAATTCGTTAAGGTTAGTGATGTCTAATTTTTACCTTAATCATCAATCATCACAATCTACTCTGATTTGACCTTACCATCTTTATATATATATATATATAGTATTACAAAAATATAATACAGTATTATTTATACAAACACATATATTGGTGTATATATATTTTTATATAGTTAAGTATAGTCCTATAAAACCATAAATAAATAAAAATGGAATCCCTCTCAAAAGGTTTCAGATTCTTCCTGATAGTTGTTTATTGACTTTTTATGGCAGTATCAATAAAATCATAAACTTCCTGGAAGTTCAACAGTCGCTGTTGTTGCTGAGGGATAAGAACAGACGGATCTTACTCGACGCCCAGGAAAATAAACTGTTTCAATGAGCTGTTGTTTTACTCGAGCAGAAAACGGGGGTCGTCCTCACCTGAATCACGTGACGGTGCGTGGAGGTGGGCGTGTCCTCGACTGTCACTCACCTGAGTGACCGTGAACAGCAGTGGTCGAGCAGCGCGGTCACGGAAGCGGACACGCGGATCAGGTGCACAGTCTGAAGGTGTTCATGGCTTCCCCTCTGAAAACGGGCTTCCACAGACTGGACATCCAGAAAACTACGTGGGATGTCCCTGACCGATACACCTCTCTCAAGCCTGTTGGGTCTGGAGCTTATGGGACAGTGTGGTGAGTGTATTTAAAAAGTGCATTTGTAAAGGAATTTCTTAAGCGTGATTTATACATGCATACTGTATATGACTATATATGTGTGTTATGAAGATTTATGGTAAGGGTAGAATTTTCATATTTAATAATCTAAGGAGCCTTGTTTTTCAATTACAAAGAAGATGTTGTGGTATGAAAATGTTCCATTAATGTTAATGACTCTTCATAAACCATCTTAGCCAATAAAGAATCTTTCTTTTTTAAGAGCATAGGCTGAATACTCTATTTTTATACATTCTGGAGGTGATTTGAAATATACAGCAGATAAATAAGGTTTATTTTAATTTGGGTTATTACTAGTGAACCAATAGCACTTTAAACAGCACTGGTTTAGTACTAATTGTGAAATTATCACAATGGTTTATTGTTCCAGCAGCACTATATAAGCTAGTTTAAGTTTAGTATGTACATATAAAGGTTCAGCGTATAATTGATTTGCTAGCCTGTATCTATGACTTGAGACTGAGCGAGCCTTAGGTGATATAAACATATGTGAATTCACATACCTGAGGGGCAGGTTTGAGCACGTTGGCTGATAACACAGAAATTCCTCAAAAAAATACTGTTTAAATCAATGGTTTTCTTCAGTTGTGTGTCTGGTAATGTAAGGTCTATTTGTGTTGGTTTTTCAAGTTTAAGCCTTTGTTAGAAATACTGGCAGAAGAACAGGTCATGGGCTTAAGCCTTTTTATGTAATGCAATGTTAACGGTTTTTATACAAGAATGTTGAATGCTTGATTTTATTGGTTGATGAATATTCTAAGGTTTGCAATAGAGTGCAACGGTCATGTTCAAGTGAAAACCCGTTGAAGAAACTGATTTTTAACAATAACTGATCACCTTTAAAGACAGACTTGTTAATCTATCAATCAATTGTTTATGCATTTGCTGAAACCATATAGCTATCTGTTCAGATTAATTCAGTGTTATATACCGTATGTAATAGTGTAACTACATTACGCGTAATGCTGTGCTGAAAATTCAACCAATTAGAATCAGACTGAGCAGATCTTTAGCTCCGCCCACTCTCATAAAGCACAATCCGCTTGTTAAGTGGTGACGTGTTGGTGACGAATGTACTGTAATACTGTTTCCGGGTCCAAGCCGCCACTCATTTGAATTGAGGAAATCTTCGTTTATGATCTTTTTATTCATATCACACATTAAGTTAATTTTATATAAAGTCATAGTGTGCACAACAATCTCTGGGCTTGCTGCATCACAAATACCAACATTTTAGCAATTTATAAAAAAAATGAATCACTTTTTGTCCATCGGATATTATGCATGGATATATATATATATTATGATCGTGATTTTCGAAAATATTACAGAGCTCTGTAAACGAGTCTCCCCATACACTTTGTTAGAGCGCTTGGGCCCAGAAGCCACTTCGCTTGACGTCACACTTAACAAGCGGATGAATGAGGTAATTAAGTCGGCATATTGGGCGCCACGATGACCGGCTCACAGCAAGACGTTGCTGGTTCGAACCCGGCTGGGTCAGTTGGCATTGCTGTGTGGAGTTTGCTGGGTTTCCTTCGGGTGCTCCGGTTTGCCCCAACGGTCCAAAGACATCCGGTATAAGGGAATTAGTCGTGAGGATGTGTGTGAATGCAAGAGCGTATGGGTGTTTCCTAGTTTTGGGTTGCGGCTGAAAGGACATCCGCTGTGTAAAATATATGCTGGATAAGATAGTGGTTCATTCCACTGTGGCGATCCCTGATTAAAGTTAGGTAGGTGTAAATCCCCAAAATTGAGTGCTGGCTAACAGGTTAATAAAGGGACTAAGCCGAAATAAAATGAATGAATGAATGAATGAGTATGCATATTTGCACTACATACAGTTAAAGTCAGAATTATTACCGTACCTGAATTATTAGCCCCCCTGTTTATTTTTTCCCCAGTTTCTGTTAAACGGAGAGGAGATTTTTCAACTTCTAAACATTATAGTTTTAATAACTCATTTCTAATAACTGATTTATTTTATCTTTGCCATGATGACAAATAATGTTTTATTTATATTTTTCAAGACACTTCTATACAGCTTAAAGTGACATTTAAAGGCTTAACTAGGTTAATTAGGGTAACTAGGCAGGTTAGGGTAATTAGGCAAGTCATTGTATAATGATGGTTGGTTTTGTGGAATAACAAAAAATATAGCTTAAAGGGTGTAATAATTTTGACCTTTAAATGTTTTTTTTTTAATTAAAAGCTGCTTTTATTCTAGCTGAAATAAATCAAATAAGACTTTCTCCAGAAGAAAAAATATTATCAGACACACTGTGAATATTTCCTTTGCTCTGTTAAACATCATTTGGGAAATATTTAAAAAGGAAAAGAAATTCAAAGGGGCTAATAATTCTGACTTCAACTGTATATTGTTTCTACAGGTAATTCAGTTGTATCATCTAGTGCTTCATAGAAATGTAGCTCTTTCCTTCATTAATATTGTTAAGTCTTGTGCCTTTGTCTTTTTTGTCTAATTTTCAATTATTTCTTTGCTTCAAACACAATTTTGTAATGTTATGAATTTCCTTGTAGCGGTTGGCTTGGTTTGTGGCTTATTAAATAATTTTTATGACTATTGAAAAATCCTCATGTGAAAAATGAATGGGAAATAACTCCCAGAACCAGGCAATAATGCAATGTTAGCATTTCAGATAAAGTTGAAGTTGCTGAAGTAGATCCAGGCAAGTCTTGTAGTACAATATCACCACATCAAACAATTTCAGCTATTTATACAGCAAAAGAACCAAAACATATAAAGACACTGCATTCAAAAAATCCAACCCAACTATGTGAAACCAAACCATCATTTTTGACCACAAATCTGCTTAAAACTAGCATATTTTAGAGTATTTCCATATATCAGTAAAAATAAAACACAGGATAAAATTACAAAATATATGCATGTTTTACCTTATTTATGGAAAGTACATAGATTCTTTCTTCGATTCAAACACACACAAACAACATAAACAGACACAGAAACGTGTTGTCAGCACTTCTCTGATGATTTTATCAGTTAAAAGGTTTCACAACTGTAGATTAAAGTTTTTGTCTTAAAGACAATAATAGCTATTTCAGCTATTGAGTCCATCTAGGAATTTGAACAGACATTTGTGGTCTAAAATGACCAATTTTGTGACAGATTTTCTCAAAACTAATGACATAATTTGCTTCCTTTCTTGTGTTTTGCTGTAAAAATACACAAAAATCATGTAAAATGTTTTTTTTTTATTCCCATTTGGACTCTTGAAGTAAAAATCTTGGAGTGACTAGTTATCTGTAAATGAATGAATTTGTAACGTGACGTGCTGGGGTCTAATAGAGTGTAATAAAAAATTGTGTGCAGTTTTGCAGTCGACCAGAAGACCAAGGAAAAGGTGGCCATTAAAAAGCTGTACAGACCATTCCAGTCTCTGATCCATGCTAAACGAGCCTATAGAGAACTCCGGCTGCTGCGTCACATCCAGCATGACAATGTAAGTCTCAAAATTCAAGGAGGAACGCAATAAACCTAGAGTAGAACTGGATGTTGTGTGCTCCTTTATTATTAACATTGTTACCGTATTCTCTTACTACGCTCTTTGTGACAGCCTCATCAATTATGAATGTATATTTCTCATTCAGACTAACAGCTTTAGAACTTGTTTTGTTTATATGTGTTTTTTTTCAAAGCATCATAACGCCTCTGTCAATAAAAAGAGAATGAAAAGATTTGGCTAAACTGTTGTTATGAAAGCCCCCACTTTATCTTCTCAAACCGGTTTCTGTGCTTGGTAAACAGTAGCCTGAATTAACTCACGCTGCTGTGTGTTAAACATGAGCGGCAAGAGGATCAAGAAAGATTTATGCAATACTTTATCCTCTTTTCAAATCCCAGACCAGTTCAGTCACTGGAATGTTAAATGATTTTGAGCAGTGTTTAGGTGCAGTTTACCAGGGCAAAGTTTGCGCTAATGATTTTTTGTTTTTGTTTTAAGCAACAACAAGAAGAGATTATGGTGACAAAAACAATGTGTACAATGTGTAAAACGTACAACATGAACACATGGATTTTTTACTGGTCCAGACATCCCCCTTTTTTTTAGTAAAATCAATAAGGTCAAAGATGTGATGTAGTATTTTGGTAAAGTGATTTTATACATAGACATTATTTTAAATGCAAGTGACATTTATTTTATAATATTATAAATAATTTAAATAAGTAAAATCAGGCAAAATAGGAACTTTATAATGGGTAATTTTTAGGGTTGGGCGATGTCGACCAATTTGGAATCGTATGATGTCTAATTTGAAACATCGAGCTGGATGATGACGGTGGCGGTGGCGGTCAATTGATTATTTATGAATAATTAATTAATTAATGATGACAATGCGGTGGCACAGTAGGTAGTGCTGTCACCTTACAGCAAGAAGGTCGCTCGTACAAGCCTCGGCTGGGTCAGTTGGAAATTCTGTGTTGAGTCTGCATGTTCTGCCCCTTGTTTATGTGGGTTTCTCCCACAAGTCCAAAGACATGCGGTACAGGTGAATTGGAAAAGCTAAGTTGTCCGTTGTGTATGAGTGTGAACGAGAATGCGAGAATGTATGGTTGTTTCCCAGTGATGGGGTGCAGCTGGAGGGGCATCCTCTGCGTAAAACATATGGATAAGTTAATGGTTCATTCCGCTGTGGCGACCCCAGATTAGTAAAGGGACTAGGCTAAAAAGAAAATGAATGAATGAATTAATTCATAACAAATTCATTATTAGTAGTCTACCGTTTCAACTACCTGACTCGCATGGTCTTTGTTTTACCCATAAACAAATCATAAATAAATAAAAATAAGTTTCACACAAATGACCACCTGTCAATCACTTTTTCTGCGTGATCTGTGTCGTTATAATGACGTCGACAAACTTGGATGGTAAAAAAGGTGCACAACCAACAGGAACCAACCAACAGTATCTGAGGTTTTGTCTAAAATTACTAAGTACAAGTGTGAAAGCGAAAGATTGAAGCAGATTGAAGCATGCTGTGACACGTTACCTGATAGATTCAAAAGACAGAGAAGTAGTTAGATAGAGACAAGATTAATTAAATATCCCATTTAACGACTGTAGTGAGACGCGATTCAGTGGTACATCCTTGATAAACTGTCCGACGTGCACTGCTCCTAAGGGATTTGTGCTCAAAGCACGCTGACTGCCTGAAGCTCAGACATGTGCATATGCTGCAGTGCATGCCAGAGTATGTGTGTGTGTGTGTGTGGTCTTGTGATGTGCATTTTCAGCGGTATAGTGTGGAAGGAGGCCTTTTCAGAAATGCTAGATAAAATGCCAGTGTGCTGTGGACGTGGAGCATTTTCATTTGTTTCATTTTAAAACTAAGACGTATTAGTGTAAATGGGGTCTGAGTGTGTATTTTTTGCAAGCGGGTTGCGATGGAGGCGGGGTGAAGGATTGCGATGCCGGCTCAGCATTGTGATGTCGACCCCACCCTAGTAATTTCTGTAAATCAATATGCATAATGGCCAGCATTTTTAGTTTAGAAAAATACATTACAATATTACAGTTACTGGACATTCTACCGTATGAAAAGATTGAAGTTGTAGTGCACTTTTATTCTTTAGCTGCTTGAAACCACAATTTTAGCTCTGACACATATACAGGGTCACCCAAAACTGAAAATTTCAACATCATTTACTCTCTCGTTCTAAACCTGTTTGAGTTTCTTTTTTCTGGTGAGCCCAAAAAGAAGATATTTGGAAGAATGTCGGTGTAACAAAGTTAGATGGCCACCTTGCCATTGGGAAAAAGGAGGTGGAGAACCGACAAACTTTTAAATAATTAATTAATTCATTTTCTTTTTTTAGCTTAGTCCCTTTATTAATCTGGAGTCGCCACAGAATGAACTGCCAACTTATCCAGAATACTGTATGTTTTACGCACCAGATGCCCTTTTAGCTGCAACCCATCACTGGGAAACATCCATGCACACTCATTCACACTCATAATACAGACAATTTAGCTTACCAGATTCCCCTACACCGCATGTCTTTGGACTTGTCAGGTAAACCGGAGTACCCGGAGGAAACCCACACGTACACGAGAAGAACATGCATACTCCACACAGACATGCCAACTGACCCAGCCGAGGCTCGATTTTTAAATAATTTATAATTACCAAAACTAAAACAAACGTATGGCAGCTCTTCACGGAGATTGCCGCCAAACTGAAAGCAAAAGTAAAACATAAAATGTTTCTCTTCTACTGTTTCTCCTCTTTTTATAATCCAGAGCTCCTCCGTTGGACTCGAGGCCGGTGCGCGACACACGTGGTTCACATTATCACTCAAGCACCAGCCTCATCCTGTTCCCACGGCTCTCGGCCGCGCCCACTCCCTACACTCAAACCTGTAAACATTGACTTCCATAGTATTTGTTTTTTCATATGTTAGCAAATAATAAATTATTATATTTTTGGGCTGAACTGTCCTTTAAAACTAATTTAGGTAAGTGAGGTTTGGTCATAAGACGATCTGAAGACTGGACACACTTCAAGAAGTAAATGGTGTAACATTTATATTATGGATCCTAATAATTTTTTACTACAGAGCCGCTGAGGCAGAGATACTGCTGCAATCTTGGGCCTCCAAGAAATACTATGCCACAGCCATATTACCCTGTAGCCCAAGACTGGTTACTCACTGAAGCTAAGCGGGGCTGAGCCTGGTCAGTACCTGGGAGAACACATGGGAAAACTAGGTTGCTGTTGGAAGTGGTGTTAGTGAGGCCAGCAGAGGTCGCTCAACCTGTGGTCAATACTTTCAGTGAGCGCTGTCTTTCGGATGAGACGTTAAACTGAGGTTCTGACTTTCTGTGGTTATTAAATTGACATGGCACTTCTTGTAAAGAGTGGAGGTGTAATTTGTAAGAGTAGAAGTGAATTTGGCCCTGTTGTTCTGGCCCTTACCCATCAAATCACCCCCATCCACCAAATTGGCTCTATGACTGTTTCTCCACCCCACCTATAACTGGTATATGGAAAGCGCACTGGCGCCATTGTCCTGTGACTGCTGCAGCATCATCCAAGTGGATCAGGCACACTGGTGGTGATGTGGTGAGACCCCCCCCCCTCCCCCTCACTTTATGGTTGTGAAGTACTTTGGGTGTATGGCCATGCATGACATATATGCTATATAAATACACATTACATTACAGTAAGAGGTTGTGCCCTGAGCTACTAGTGCCTCTCTTAGAATTGTCCTAACCATTTCCTGCTTAGTGGTGCCCCTGCCCTAAGGAGATTGTGGTACTGAAAAAAATGGGTAAGAAAAACACAATTAACACTTTTGTGTTTGCTCACAAAAGTTTGTATTGCTCTGAAGAATAGGAGATGCAAGAGAAAGCTGTCTAAAAGAGATGTGCCGGTTCTAACTACTGCAGAATTAAATGTGGGCCTTGACTTTTCTTTTTCTATCTGTTTGTCAGGAGCTCCACATAGTCAATATACATGGCTGCTATAGCCAAACCTTTGGTCATTTGTGCCAATTTCAAACATTCAGCAGAGAAAATCATGGGCTGTGTAGGAAGTATCATTGGGAGTTACATGTTGTGTAGCTGGCTATATATCTTATCAGTGAAGAGAAAGTGACATAAGTTTATCATTTCACCGCCTTCCGGGTGACCCGAAGGTCCGTTCTAAATGATTGGTGAAAATAAATGGGATATCTGAGCTCAGTTTCAGCTAAGTTAAGGGAAAGGGCATTAGTTAGTTAACGTTTACTTTCCTAAATACGTTTTAGATGCCATTTATCAAACTCGAGTTAATAAACTGACTCTTTCACTATATTACACTTGTCACAATACTGAATTAAAAGAAAAACATCAATTTCCCCTTAACGTTTAAGGCACTGCTGATAGTTTTCTTAAAACAGAAATGCTTGTGATTGGCCGAGAAGGTCATCAGTTCACCCTCCGCTGTTTACCGAGCACACACATAGACGAGCGATCCGCTTGATGACTGAACTGATCTTCAGGGCTGCTTCGCGCTTCAGTCTCCGTGTATCTGTGTTTGCACTGGGTGAAGAGCAGTAAACTGAGTGCAAACACAGATACACGGGCGCGAAGCAGCCGTGAAGATCAGTCTTGTCAGAGGACTGCAGTGTTTTATTGCTCACCGGGTTAGATAGGCTGAAGCAGGAAAGCGCCCCCACGGTGTTTAACTGCCATGAACTGAAGCCTAGGAGGACACTTAAGCGTATCACTGAAATTGTGATGTTGTTTGATGCTAAATTGCTTTAAATTGTTTAAAATAAACTAATTAAATGATATCAAAGTTATGTTTACACCATTTCTTCATTTTAAAAATCACAGCAACAGCTGGAGGTTTGTAGTACTCAGCATGTTACTGCAATGTTTACAGTGCTGATCCTGTAATTCCGGGTTTCTTCCCACCGCAGCCCCCCTTTGGTTCTTTTAAATGGCGGCCGCGTGAAATAAGCGTATTGTTCACTGATGAGTCCACCTTCACTGTCTTTCCCATATCTGGGAGAGTTACGTTGTGGAGAAGCCCCAAAGATTTGTACCACCCAGACTATTGCATGCCCAGAGTAAAGCATGAGAGCGAATCAGTGATAGTTTGGGCTGCAATATCATGTCATTCCCTATAGGCCCAATACTTGTGCTAGATGGTGCATCACTGTCAAGGACTGCCAAATCATTCTGGAGGACCATGTGTGGGTGCATGGTTCAAACATTGTATCCTGAATGTGGTGTTTATATCAGGATGATAATCCACCAATACACAGAGCAAGACTTGTAACAGAGTGGTTTGATGAACACAAAAGTGAAGTTCTCCCATGGCCTGCACAGTCATCAGTTCTAAATATTATTAAGCTACTTTAAGTTGTTTTGGAGAAGTCAGGAAATGTTTTCCTCCACCAGTACCACGTAGTGACCTGACCACGATTCTGCAAGAAGTATGGCTAAAAATCCCTATATGGTAATGACATCAGTTACCAGACACATCTCATACTGCTGATTGGCTGCAAGTGTTTTTTGGGACTTTTCACACTGTGGTCAAAAGAGTTGTTACATAACAAATAAAACATGGTCAATTTTGCCTGCTATATATTTTCATTACAGTAGACGCAGTAGCGTAATAAGAAAAGTAACAAACCATAGTATACGTGCCATTCAGTCTTTCAAAGCACTGCATAGGTTTCACGGCTTCCTTTGCTATTTTAATTTATTCTGAAATGATTTGTAATAAATTATCTTTAACATTTGATCAATTAATTTATTCCTGATTACAAACCTGTTCTTCTTCCTGTAGGTGATCTGCCTGCTTAATGTCTTCACCCCTGATTCTTCGCTGGAGAAATTTGATACGTTGTGAGTGTCAAGATGAACAGAATGCATTCCTGTGCAGAACTCTTGCGCTTGTCGTGACAGGCTGAAGGTCGCAATGCATGCATATGTGTGGATGTGTTCATGTTTGAGTGAGAGTATGCTCTATATAGGAACTTTGCATGGTGTGTGATTTTTCAGCCACAGTACATTTTAAAAAGTTACACTAAATGACAGTATTTTGAGCTACATTCTGTCATGTTTTTGCCCAGCTATATGGTGATGCCTTTTGTAGCTCAAGATCTTGGACACATAATGAAGAGGAAACAATTAACCAGCAATGTCATCACTTACTTGTTCTATCAGATACTGCGAGGACTAAAGGTCTGCCTTCTTCATGTTACTTCATACTTTTAATTTTTCCTGGACCTCCATTCTTAATGCTTTCAACACCAACTTGGCTGTGTAACACATTATTGATGATATTGATTGATGAATATTGAATATCAATCGATTTTTCCACATCAATGTTGATTTAAAGTAACTCATACTTCTTTTTGTAGTATATCCATTCTGCTGGGATCATTCATCGGGTATGTAGATTAAACAGTACCTATTTATACCCTACTTTTATTTTATTCATGAGGGAAAACCTATTACTCTATTATTAAAATTACATTGGCGAGGCAGTGGCGCAGTAGGTAGTGCTGTCGCCTCACAGTAAGAAGGTCGCTGGGTCACTGGTTTGAACCTCGGCTCAGTTGGCATTTCTGTGTGGAGTTTGCATGTTCTCCCTGCCTTTGCGTGAGTTTCTTCTGGGTGCTCCGGTGTCCCCCACAGTCTAAAGACATGTGGTACAGGTGAATTGGCTAGGCTAAATTGTCCGTAGTGTGTGAATGTGTGTGTGGATGTTTCTCAGAGATGGGTTGCGGCTGGAAGGGCATCTGCTGCGTAAAAAACTTGCTGGATAAGTTGGCGGTTCATTCTGCTGTGGCGACCCCGGATTAATAAAGGGACTAAGCCGACAAAAAAAAAAAATTAATGAATATTTATTAGAATTAATTAATTAAAGTTTTTTATTAATTAATTAAAAAATATAATTTTTTTATAATTATACGTTTTAACTACATTTTTAGTTCATGTAGTTTCCTTCTGTGATAGCAAAACTGAGTTTTTAGAGTTCTTTGGTAATCATTATAATGGGAAGGTTTGATGCATGATGTTCTCTTATTTTCTTTTTTCCCCCAATATTTTTATTGCATTTTTTCAGATTAATACAAACTTACAAATGTATATGAAAAATAGAAGTCCTATCAGCAAAGAGATGACCTCAAATACATAGCAATAAAAAACATGAAAACTGTAGAACTCTTAAATTTAAATTTAAATTTTTTCTACCCCTTTCTATGCACCATCCCTCCAATCTCCCACCCCTCCCTATTTTCTGAGGCCTTCAATAAGTATGTAACGGTAAATCAAGACAGTGATAAATAAATAATAAGGCAACTGAAAAAATTATAAATAAAATAAATACAAATAAATAAATAAATTAATATATGAGTAAATACAGAGGATGAAAATGTAAAATAAAAACTAGAAGTCTCTCTTTCTCCCTTTCGAAATTCTAGTCAGCAGTTCCTGAAATGTTAAGGTTCTCAATGACTGACAGTATGGGGCTCCATGTTTTGTTAAAGGAGTTCAGTGATCCTTTAAAACAATGTCTCAGTTTCTCAAGATAGATGCAATTAAGAACCTCTTTAACCCAGTGTTCTGATGATGGAGGGGACACATGTTTCCATTTGAGGAAAATTGCGCGCCTGGCGAGCAAGGTGGTGAAGGCAATGACGCGGCGTGATGTTTGTGTAGTTGGGGTTGGAAGGGCAGTCAGAGGGTCTGGAGTGATGATTATATGATGCTCTCTTATTTTGAGAGGGTGCTCACTGCAGAGCCATTTGAGGAGAGGTGAGCTCCAGAGAGGGGGAGCATGAGCTGTCGCTCCTCCTCCTGTAAGCTGTTTTAATGCGTACATCAACCCCACCCCTAACCCTACCCCCAGTGACATCACTCGTAGAAGAAGTGCAAAAAAGGTGGAGCTCAAGCATAAGCTCCCCCTTCGCTGGAGCTCACCTCTCCTCAAATGGCTCTGCAGCGAGCACCACTTGCTTATTTTCATCAATGATGAAAGTTGTGCTGCTCAACATTGTGGTTAAAACCACTAGCAACCAATTTATGCTTTCAAAAATGCAAAGGAGTTCTGTAGAAATGTGTTAGCCACACATGCTAATTCACGCTTACATCATGCCGGACTCGTTCATCATATTAATTTGTTGTTAATTTGTTTATCTTACCCCAAACTTTGGATAATAATGATTTTAAATGTTTTTAAACTTAAACTCAAACATTTGTGGCATTTTTACACCTTAACACTTCAGATTAACACCCAATTCTGCTTAATAATAGATAAGTGCTTAATCAGTTAAATCACTGAATTCTTCTTGCAGGATCTTAAGCCTAACAACCTTGCAGTGGATGAAAACTGTGAGTTAAAGGTAAAACAAGGCTAATATTACAAATAAAAAATGACAAAGAGATGAAAGGTTTATCATGAAACCTTCTGTCATCACTTGATCAGTTGCTTACAGTATTTAACTACGGTGTGGCCTGCTTTTTTACACTCTTTGCTAGATCCTGGACTTTGGACTGGCAAGACACACTGAAACTGAGATGACGGGCTACGTGGTGACACGCTGGTACAGAGCACCTGAAGTCATCTTCAACTGGATGCATTACACTCAAACAGGTGACCTTTGACCTTGTATTACTCACCTGTTCAAACACATGTAAGTAGTTTGTTGTATTATAAGATTGTGGATTATGGATATTTTTGTTGACTTTAGAAAGCCAACTATTGAAAGGGTTACTTTACCCCCCAAATTATTTGTTCAATCCCACATCTTTGGAATACAAATTAAGATATTTCAGATGAAATCAGAAAGCTCACTCATCATCTATCCTAGAGGGGATGTTAAAACAACAACATCAAGTTGAAAATGATGTCAAAAAACATGTGCATAATGATTTGATGTCACGATGATTTGACATCCACAGACTGATGTTCTTTTGACAACCAAAATTAGTTAACAAAAAAGTATTATATTGTAATAAAAGATGTATTCATCTAAAAGTGTCATTTCTAAATTAACTGTACACTGGATTTTGTAGTCTTACAATGCTTGTGAACTACTGTCCTTTTGACATCAAGGAGCCTGCTTAAAAAGTCAGCGATGGTACTGGGACATTTAAAAAAGTCCAGAAAAAACCCCAAAACATTGTCAAAGATTTCATGGGAGTTCTGTGGTTTACTTTTAATCATACAAAGCTCCAGGAACAATTTTTTGTTAAAATTATGTTTTCTAGTGTTTTCTGCATGTTTACGCAGGGGTGGATTAAGTGATGTAGGGGGCCTAAGCAACTTCAGCCATGGGGCCCCAAGTCCTGAAATGCATCATATTTATTTTGCTGTTATTTTATATATATCTTCTACTTTTTATCTTAATTAAAGCTTTACATTTTAAATAATTAGATTTCTTAAAATGAATTTACTAAAAATTATATATATATATTTTTTTATTTTTTTAAATTTGACTGCTGGACTGCTCCTTGTTTAGGGGTGGTGGAATATTTTCATAATATTAACATTACATAACATTACATAATAATAATACTAATAATAATAATACTAATATTTTTTGGTATATTAAATAATGTTTAATTATGTAATAATTTTATTTGTTTGACTCTCTTTATACAAAACATGATGTACACAATGTTATATAAAGTTTATAGGTATAATTTATACTTCTAGATATTTATGTCCTGGGGCCCTCAGGAGCCGCTTGCTTATTGGTTAAATCCGCCCCTAAGTTTACTACTCTTATATTATTATACCACTTGCATATGGTGCTGATGGCAACATGTCAAACTGCCCACATATACCAACATAGCCAATTTTCTGAATTACAAAAATCTGAAGACATATTAAACCTCTATTTAAAGGGATAGTTCTCCCAAAAGTGAAAACTCACTGGTTCAAAACCTGTTTGATTTTCTTCTGTTGAACACAACCGAAGATATACTGAAGAATATCTTGTGTTGTGTTCAACAGAAGAACGACATTTCCAAACATTCAGAACCACTTGAGCGTGAGTTATGAGAAAATGTACATTTTTAAGTGAACTAAAGATGTACTGCAGATGAGACAATGCTTTGAAAAATATGACATTTCTGAGATGTACCTGTGTTATCAGAATAGGTTGTCTATTCTGTCATAAGTTCTTTGTAGTTTTTGTCACTGTAGCCCTTTGTCACTGTGTTCTCTTTTCAGTCGATGTTTGGTCTGCTGGCTGCATCCTGGCTGAGATGATAACAGGAGAAGTGCTTTTCCCAGGCAGTGACAGTATCCTTCCTCTTGAGGGCACTTCTTAAATATATGTGTCAACAAAACACCATTCCTATTCCTTAATGCTATGTACAGGTATTGACCAGCTGAAGAAGATCCTCAATCTGACAGGGACACCAAACTCAACGCTGGTTCTGAAAATGCAAAGCAAAGATGTAGGAAAACACCACCAGCCAATTGTTTGTTTTATATATATATATATATATATATATATATATATATATATATATATATATATATATATATATATATATATATATATATATATTCTAGTCTTTTTATTGATTATTGTATTAATTTAATGGCAGGCGCAGTCGTATGTCCGCTCTCTTCCAGTCCAAAAGAAAAAGGCCTTCAAAGAGGTGTTTTCTGGAATGGATCCAAACGGTAAGGCTACAAATCTCAAATCGATTTCTGCTTTAAACCGTAATTATACATTAAAAGCTTTTATTATGGTGAGGAAATTCATGACATTTTAAATCAGGAAATACTGCCCTCTAGTGGTAGTCTCGATTATACTACAAAAATATTTCACATTTCGGTTTTTAAAAATCTGTTTGTCTCGCAAAAATGTAAATTCTTGGTTAATTTACTCACCATCAGGCCATACGAGTGGCTTTATTTCTTCAATGGAGCTTTTAAGCAAGACTTTGTGAAGCTACCAAAGTTTGGCTTATGTTGCACCGTAATTCAGCATTTATTTAACACGTGTTTCATTCACAGCCATCGATCTGTTGGAAGGTATGCTGGTTTTGGACCCAGAGGTGAGACTTTCTGCAAAAAATGGCCTTTCACATCCGTACCTCTCTGAGTTTCATGACCCTGAAAATGAGCCCGTGTCTCCTCCATATGATGATTCCTTTGAGAGTATGGATCTGGCTGTCAGCGAATGGAAAAGTAAGCATACATACGTTTACATAGATATACAATACACACATATAAAACTGAGAATAACGTGATTAGCCCTCTTGTGAAATTGACATTTTTACGTGATGTTTAACAGCACATTTATAGTATTTTCTTTTATATTTGTCTGCAGAAAGTATTTCTTTCAGTTTGGCTTGGAACAGAAATCACCATTGTCCAATGACTTTCCTAATTAGCCTAACTTGTTTAGTTAACCTAATTATACCAGATTCGCTTTTCAATTATATTTTAAGCTGAATATTAGTAAATAACAAGTTAATATGATGTACTGTTCTCATAACTGATGACAAAAGAAATTCATTATAAGAAATTAGTGTTGGAATAATCTTCTCTCTGTTTCCCAGTATTGGGTTACTGCTGGAAGGGCATCCGTTGTGTAAAACATATGCTGGAATAATTGGTGGTTCATACCGCTTTAATGATCCCTGATAAATAAGGGACTAAGCTGAAGGAAAATTATTGAATGAATAATATTCTCTCTATTAAAGAGCAATTGGGACTTATATATATAAAAAAGAACACAAATTTCACAGGAGGGCTGATTATTTTGCCTTCAATTGTACAAATATTAATCTTCGTACTCTAACATCCTGTTAAATCTGTTCAGAAACATGTATACATTCTTATGTAAGTTTGACTTATCTGTCTTGACATGTCTTTCAGGTCTTATCCACATGGAAATCATGACATTTGACCCCAACAACCCCAGAGTGACTGCAATGTAATACCTTATTTTCACATTGGGAGAACAACACATACTCCAAACAGACTCTGGAAAACTGTCTGCTTGCTAAGATGTGATATATTGGAAAAAACCCCAGCTCCAAGTCATTTTTGTTGAGATTACTGTCACAACAACTATTTTTAAGCAGTGTTTGTTAATATTACACATTTAGAAGAAGGCTAAAGTGTAGAGTTTGACCGTTTTTGATACTACGCAGATTCTAAATGGTGCTGCAAGAGTAGGGGTTGGTGAGGGGGACTATTTTCAGGTGCTGCATAATATCATTGTGCCTGCTTCAGCCATGGTACTGCAGCAAAGTTCCTTGATTATTACGCCAGAATTAGATTGTATTTCTCAGCAAAATCAACCTAGAAAATAACAACTTATCATTTTTCGATGGCTTTTTTGTGGTCTCTATGTACATTTTATCTCCATGTATGTCATTTGTTTAGAATGAGATTTGGATATGTTGTTGCTTTTTTGATAGTATTACAACACACTGTGAGTATATATATATATATATATATATATATATATATATATATATATATATATATATATATATATATATATATATATATATATAGTACATCTTATCATTTTCCTTTGGATCTTATACAGTAAAGTGTTTGATAAACTGTTTCACGGCATCAGACTTAATAAGCAGTTTACTTTTTACAGTTTTTCTGAATTGCTTTGGCTCTAATTTTGATTGATATTTTTATTTTTCAAAACAGTAAATTTTAAATCTCTGCACAATTAGCTTATTGTTCACTTCAGTGTGGCATTTCATATTGATTTAAGCAAATTGCAAATGCTTTGGCACATGTGTGCAAACAAAAAAAAAATTTGCAAATGGCTTGTTGATCAAAACTAATGAGCCAATTCTCATTTAAACTGTCAAACTCTTCACAACTTCTCAATAATTTTTCATCGTTCATCGTCACACTCAAAACTATTTATTCAATTATCAAACATTTGTATATGCACATAGGGCGACACAGTGGCGCAGTGGGTAGCACGTTCGCCTCACAGCAAGAAGCTCGCTGGGTTGCTGGTTCGATCCTCGGCTCAGTTGGCGTTTCTGTGTGGAGTTTGCATGTCTCCCTGCGTTCGCATGGGTTTCCTCCGGTTTCCCCCACAGTCCAAAGACATGCAGTACAGGTGAATTGGGTAGGCTAAATTATCTGTTGTGTATGAGTGTGTATGTGTGGATGTTTCCCAGAGATGGGTTGCGGCGTGAAAACTTGCTTGATAAGTTGGCGGTTCATTCTGCTGTGGCGACCCTAGATTAATAAAGGGACTAAGCCAACGAGAAAATGAATGAATGAATGTATATGCACATTGTTGGAATATCTAGTCAATTCCATGTTCAATAAAAAAGGCAAAAAAAATCGTAGTAATTTATCGGATACAAATGAATAATTTGATTCACAGATCGATTCTGTTATCCTCAATGTAATGCAAAAGTTACATTCAGGAGGTGCATAGCAATTTTCATTTTCTGATTAGCGCATTTATAGTGAAATTCACTTGTCAATCATTCTCCAGTCCACCATTGGCTGCACCCATACATTCGTCCTCTTTTTCTACGAATTCTCTGCACAACATTAAAAGCATAAGACTTTCTCAACTGCACATATTCTGTGTTCAGTTTCAACACATCTCTGCTTACAGGACATTCAGCTGCAGAGCTCAAGTTAATTTTAGACAATTAGGTTTTTGCATTTCTATCAGTTTCATCTATTTCTGCAAAAATGCTTCTTTAGTATGCAAAGCATATCACTCTCAACATAAGAAGTTCAGTTTATATATCACCTTTAAACAACACAAATACAGTTAATGAAAAAAAGAGACAAAAATCATTGAAAATATATTCCTTTTTTCACATAATATGTTTACACCATAAATTTTTGAGATTGACATTGTTTGTAATGTCTGCTAAATTGGCAAATTACCTCTACTTGCAGTACCTTGCGTTATCTATTTATCATATATGGTACAAAACTACTTATATGTATATATATTATAGGTGGGCATAGATTCATTTTTTAATCTAGATTAATCTCAGAATTAATCTATATTAATCTAGATTAAAATGGCTCATTTGAATTCTGCTGAAGGCATTCAGAATATGTGTGCTACCCAAATAATAAGTCTTTGAGAACGGATTTCTCAAGCCAGCATCACAGTGCATCACAATGTGATGCAAATACATTTGATGTTTTGTTGGCCTTGGCCAAATTACTGACACATTAACTAGACTTTGAAGCATTTTTGGGTTTTAATTGAGTAACTATATTTTGCAGACATTCAATAAAGGTCTGAAGGTCCAACAAACAGTTTTGATATTTGCACTCAGAGTTTAGAGAATGTTAAGTCTGTTTTGAAAAATGTGCCAAAGCAATTGAGAAAAACTGTAATCCAATGCCATTGGCTGGATAAAACATTTAAAGGGATAGTTTAACCCAGAATGAAAATTTGCTGTTAATTTACTCTCCCTCAGATCACATCAAGATGTAAGTGACTTTTATTATAATTTTTTAAAATTATAATTTTATTTAGCTCAAACTGTTCTCCATGATAATTCGTAAAAAGCATATTGTTATTTTGAAGTGTGACCACTACCCCTAAATTAACAGCAACTTTTCATTCAATTTTATCACATTTTCATCATTAAGTAATGTTAACTAGCTATCTTCAAAGAAAGATGTTATATACCATGTAAACGTGTGAAACTTGTCTGTTTGTTAACCAACTTTTTAAAAGAATTTTAAAGCATAAATATTTGAATGTAATAAAATGAAGTTTTGTGTTCATAACTTTGTTCTTTGTTACATATTTCTGTTACATATTTTAAATGGAGATGGATGGATGGATGGATGGATGGATGGATGGATAGATGATAGATAGATAGATAGATAGATAGATAGATAGATAGATAGATAGATAGATAGATAGATAGATAGATAGATAGATAGATAGATAGATAGATAGATAGATAGATAGATAGACAGATACGTTTTAAATTAATTGTTTAGGCTATAGTTTGAAATAATCATCTAGACGTCCACCCCTGTACCGTTAGGGGGCGGCAATATGTAGTAGATCAAACTAGTTATCTTACAGTTTTTCTCAGTCGCTTTGGTGCATTTTCACAACACCTGTGCATTTTTGCACAACATTTAATGACTTTCTCAAAACAATTAGTACAAACGGCAAAACCTAGCTGATAACCTGCAAAAGCATGTCACATACTCAAAATGGATAGTTCATTCCTCAAAAGCAATTATTCATGTCAATCAAAGTGTCAGTGTCATGAAAATGAAAAGTCCTGACACCATTGTTTATGAACAAGACAGTCAAATGGCTTAGTCATGTTTTCATTAAGACAGTTTACTCTCTACATTTTTTCAATGCAAAAAAAGTCTAATTCTGGTGACACGTCCTGAAAATGCTCAAGACAGCACTTGATACTATTTGCACAGCCATTTGTAAAGTTAGACATCACTGCATTAGTAAGGTATCTAAGTATGTATCAGAGGTGGGACCAAGTCATTGTTTGGCAAGTCACAAGTAAGTCTCAATTCATTGCCCTCAAGTCCCGAGTCAAGTCCCGAGTCAAGACAGGCAAGTCCCGAGTCAAGTCCCGAGTCAAAGGCAACAAGTCTCAAGTCAAGTCCAAAGTCCTGCAGTTTGATTTTCGAGTCTTTTCGAGTCTTTTTAACAGAAAAATAAAATATATACAGATTAGGTATGGTTGTAAGATCTGTATTAATTAAACAAACCTTTTTTATTAAAGAACATTGCTCAGATATATAAAAATACAAATGCAATTTTCTGAAAAAGTACTGAACAGTGCTGCGTCTCGTCTCCACAGCATAATGCACAAGAACGAGTTCCACCAAAAAAAGACTCCATTTTGCCTCACATCACACAGAAATTGCAGGTCTACTGCTGTCTAATTCATTAAGTTTAGTTGTGCTATGTTATGTCTTCGGTGATCAACTTGTGATTAACCAAAATTACATAACCTCAATGTGGTAGCAGTAGACCAACTCCTGTATATGCTGCAAAGTTAAATTGAGTGAAATTGGAATTTTGTCAATTGAATCTCGTGTGTGCTGAAGAGATGGAGTTGCAAATCTGTCTAGCAGCAATGTAAAATGGTAGCACATATTGTTAATGAAGTAGGCTACTTCATACAAACAATAAAGTTGTTTTCTTCACATAACGTTGAAGAGCTTTGCTCTCTACCTTGTGTGATGCTCGTGCACGGATTTCCTCTGTTTGTGGACAAAACTGATTGCGAGTTCTCAAATTTTCTCTCGCTCTCAAATATGCACTGCTCACACACAAATTTTCTTGAGCGCTCTCAGAGATTATATGCAAACTCACAATTTGTGTCGTGTTCCCTCTTCCTTTCATGCTTTTTGATATGATTCATATTGCTGCACTGTTTAATAACAATAACCAAAATACTAAAATAGACTTATACATGTATATTAAATGTTTAATCTAATAAACCATAACATTTTTGGTTGTTTTATATGATGAGATATTTTCAGTTTCAAACACTTAAAGACAGAGAATAGACCAGTGGTGCCCCCCTGAAAATTTGCTTAAGGGGGGCCAGAAGAGGCCAGCTACGTCAGTGGCACCAATCAATCCACAATAATTTAGTGGCTGCTATTTATTTATTGAAATATTGCATTGTATTGCATTTATGTAAGTAGATTTAAATAAATAATGTCAACAGCAAAATCATATCGGGTTGGCCACAGGGGTGGCTAGAGTTTACACAGGGGTAACACCCCTTGTAAAGGGGTTTACACCACTATAAGGCACCCCTGGAATAGATGTTGGATGTAAAGAATACATTTTATTTTAAAAGCATTTAAACAAAAACTAATGCAAGCAGAAATGTAACTGTGATAAAAATAAGGAAACACTTGATAAGGTATTATAGCCTACTGTACTATTCACTCTTCAAATAAATCTCACTATCAATCTCATTTTATTATGGCAGCTAAAATAAAGTAAACTAGTGTCTGCTGGCTTCCACTTTGCTGATGAGATTGTGGAGGACATTTTCCATGTCATCCTCTTCATTTTGAGGAAAGCTGTTCCACAGGGCCCCTAAACACGTATATTGACATGTACTGTGTTTTGAACAGTAGCCTACTACAGTAAAGAACTTCAATTGATCAGTTGTGGTAATACTATAGTTGCTATGGTAACACAAGTGTAATATAAACAAATTACCCAGTGCTGTATTATTTTACAATATAGGGTATTTTATACTACAAATCACTACACTTTACTGTAGTTAAAACTACACTTTGTATTATTTTATCTGTTCACTTTTAGTAATACTACTGTATTATGAAGCATTAATTAACAAGTCGTAAATAATACTAGCCTAAAACATAAGTATAATACAAGTATACAACAAGTATAATACTCAAAAACACTAGAATTTATTAGAGAATTTACCTTAACCTTTTAGTTTTTTGTGTATTGTTAATAAATAGTAAAGCAAGAAAGAAACCATATCAACATTCTTGGAATAACCCTTCGCTAAGCCTCGCCCTCCTTAGTTACTGTTGCTACGCCTGTCAAGCTTTCATGCCTGGCACATCTATTACAGTGTGATTGCG